TTATACAAGTGTATTTTATTTACTTGTATAGGTAAAAAAAAAATTGCCTTAGTTATGTCCCTTAGACATTCAGATTTTTTTACTTATATAAGTGAAAAAGTCATCCTATCTTCTTTTCTTGAATTCTTAGGACTTCTTTGCTCTAATAGAATTTTAAATTGTCTGTCTTTTGCAGATGTCTTAACTAATCATTTAAGTGTAATTTCATGAACAATGAAAATCTCATTTGTCTGTTATCTTCAGAACACTGCTCATTTACAAGCCCCCAAGGAGCAATTTTTGAAGGACTTGCGCAAATACTTAAGATCTTTGTGCAATCAGTTTCTTTGTTGAATTAATGAGATGAAACATTGAGCTCTAATAAAAAATTATGAGCTATCCTGGGAAAAATCATTAAAGGCATGTTTTTACATCTCAAACTTGAGAATTTTTGTGGGGTTGTAAAGAAAAATTACTTATACAAGTGAATTTTTGAGAAAATTAAGGGGAGATTATTCAAACATTATAGTTAACTTATATCATGTATAGAAGTATATTTTTTTTACCTCTTCAAGTAAATAAAGATTACTTGTACAAGTAGTATCCCTGACTGACAGCGTAACCTATTTGTATAAAGCTTCACTAGGTACATTTTTGAAGCTTAAAGACCTGGATACTTCTTTATGTTATGAAGTTTCTGTTAGTTATAACTTGTTCATTGCACTTTACCTTGTTTTCATGGTTCACTGACTGTTTGAAAAAAAATATTACTGTTTGAACAGTCATACAGTGAAATACTCTCTAACATGTATAACATGTACATGTATAATGAGTAATTGGATAAATTTATATGGTATATATATATAGGTATCTTGAAAGGTCTACATGTCTCATTGTCTGTCAGGCAGGGTTAACCTGACCTTGACTCCATTTCATGGATTAGTGATTAAGGTTATTTCAGTTACTTTGTCAAGTTTGTTTCTCAGAGGAATAATAGGTCAACTATATTTGGTGTATGAAATGATTGTAAGGTGAATATATCTGACTGCAAGACCTGCATCAGACTTTGACCTCAATGAAAATGTCATGGTTCATTGAACAATTTAGTTTTTGTGGTTTGGTCTATTTCCCAATGTTTCTCAGATGCTATAAACTACATGTACATGTACATGCATGACATGTATAGGATCACTATTTTTGGCGTATTGGATATCTTCGTAAGTTGTACAAGTTTGATTGGGAGGTTTTAAATCTGACCATGACCTCATTTTCATGTTTCATTGGGCAATGTTTAGTTTTCATGGTTTGGATGTTAAGTCTATTTCACAGATACTATAAACCACTAAATTTTGGGTATGGAATGTCAGTTTGTAGGGTGTACATCATCTGTTTGGCATGGTTAATTTGACCATGACTTCATTTTCAAAGGTAATTGATAATGGAAAGTTTATGTGATACTTGTACATGTAGTAAAACCTTCATATATACATGTTTTATATTCAACATAAATTCAATTTTACATGTAGGCAAAGCAGACTTGACATTTCAGCGTGTGCACAGTCACTCTTGTTACATCACCATTGATCATGTCTACCATGTTGATTATAGCTGCTTTTTGTTAACAAAAGTCGGACAAGTATTAACAATTGTTATAATTCATTTGATAATATTGTAGTCTTGTATAACATGTACAATGTCATGAATGTACAATAACAAAAATTAAGGAGATGTGGTATGATTTTCAATGAGACAACCATCAACCGTAGACCAAGTGATGTAATTGTTAGTACTGTAACTGCACATCCTTCAACAATGAGCAAAATCAGTACCACATAATCATGATAATGAAAAACCTATAACAGGCCTAGCCATATTGAATGATGTTACACAATGTAAACAAGTTGAGATGAGAAACCCAAGTTTGATTTATATACAAAAGCAACAAACAATCAGTTGGCGATAAAATTGGGTCAGTTAATAGATATAAGAAGATGTGGTATGATTGCCAATGAGACAACTTTGCATCCAAGTCAAAAATTTTGAAAAAGTAAACCATTATAGGTCAAAGTACAGTCTTCAACACAGAGCCTTGGCTCACACCGAACGGCAAGTTATATAGGGCCTCAAAATTACAGTTAAGCATGTTTAGAATTTGAAAAAATAGTTCCTGGATGATCATTTCTGATGTCTCCCATTTTTATCATGTTTACAGACCCATTGAAACATGAGAGATGACAAATGTATCATGGTTTACCAAAGGCTTATCATGCTTATAGGTGATCCAATATTAACAGGCTTCTGCCCTTATTCATGTTTTTTCTACAAATCCATTATATCTGCTTTTGAATAAATGCCTTCTAAATATATATCCCAAGATGTTTAGCAACATTTTCAATATACACAATAAGCATTACAAAGGCATACATGTATTATGCACTATTGGTGAGCTGTTTGTTATAATTTAGATATACATTATACATACATTGACATATATATATAGCATGGTGTGAAAAGCCTATGCAATACAAACATGACAAATAGACTAAAACATATGATAATAAATTGGTGAAATTGAGTAAACTGCTACTATATGACATCAACCCAACAACAACTAAATAACAATCTAGAGGTCAACATATATCTATACGTCTAAACACGTGAAAACTTTACGACAGATTCATCCATTGGAGAACAAGTGATCATTGATGGTGATACACGGCTGAAATCATAATTGCTCAAAATATCGACACAACAATGTTAAAAAGAACTGCATTTTTTTTAATAAGATCATTATTTGATTAATAAAATGATGTGGTACTTGTTTACAAATTAGACAATTTTTCACCTAAAATCCAATGACAGAAGTTAGCAACTGAATTGGCAAATTTGATATGGTCAGAATATTAATTTCCAACATATAGGCAGCCAGATTATATATTTTCACTCAGACCAGGGCCAGAATACTTATTTTCAGTCCATCCTTCTATTAAAGTGAGTCAAAACAATTTGTGTGATTTAATTAATCAATGATTATTTTTTTTTCTAAGGGGCGCCCAAATAAGTTCTGCTGGTAATACATATGTACTGTTTTCATCACTGATTGAAGATGAATATAATTAGAATAATGGACCCATTTGGTTTCTTTACTATTTGAATTATATATCAATATTGGACAAGCATTTATATGATTAAATAAATTGAATTTAAAAAATGGAAATTGGAAAATATTTTAGATAAATGTTAGCATGGTTAGTACACATCTGATCAACTGAAACCACAAAGGAGAATCCGATGTCAGTCTGTAGAATTTAACAAGACCGGAGTCTAAAGAATACAACAAGTTCTAAACCGTTATGTGAATAAATAAAAGAAGATTTGATTTCCTTGTCTGAAACAATGCGAGTTTTCTTGTTTTGAACATTTCAACTTTCACTGGCGCTAGTTATTTTGTCGGTCTTGTACAGTACGCCCATCTGTTTATAAATACTTTTGGTAAATTGGTTGAGAAAAATCCGGTGAAAATATGAATGATCTCGAGTGATAATATTTTTACCTCAATCAATCATGAATGAATGCCGAAGTGCTATTTATCAAGGACATTTGAACTTCAAATAGACCACTCGTTACAATATACAGTACAAAGTCGAGTCAATATTGAACTATTCAAAAAGTAAAATACAGTAAAATAAATTAAATTTAGATAGATTTAAGATTATTTTTGTTTTTCCATAGCTGCAAAAGATGCGTTAAATGTTCATCATAGCTTTGATTTTTTTTTATATGTATAGAAATCAAAATGGTTAATACGGCAATATTTATAATTTTGCAAGAAAAAAAATGTAGCCAGAAATAAAAGCTCAAAATAAGTGTGTGAAATAAACCCTCGGGGAAAAAATTAAGCAGTTTAATATGGGGATAAGTTTGACTAGGGTGTATATTCGGAGTTCCCCGCTGTGTTTACAGTATATCGTGTATATTGACCGTTATTATGAAGTAATGTGATTCGTAAAACTACGGGTATTGAAGACAACCTTGTATGCATGAATGATTTCACACCTAACTAATTTAAAAAAATTAAAAAGTTTTTATTTAGATAATATTGAAATGAAAATTGTCAACTGTTAATACAGTTAAAGATACATTTGGTTAGTTTTAAATGCGAATAAAACCGTCCTGTGTGAGATTGCAGGTATTTAGTGCTGGTTCCGATTTTGTTCGATGAGATGAGAGGCGAGGGAGTGTTTATAATTATATAAATTTAGCTCATTCACTAAATAAGCGGGGAATACCAAAATGTTTAGTGGCAAATATTTCAAAATATTTTTTTTTAAATCAATTTCTATCTAAATTAATGTATTAAATGGGTTTGATAGTTGTGTCTCTTTGTCACAACCTTATATTGCACACGGTAAAATTGTTTTACAAATAATTTAACCTATCCCTGACTGTCAGAAATTTTGTATCCGTGACTTTTAAGTCTTAATGACGATCAATGTTTGGAAGCTGCTACACTTATAAATTAGCTATGACTATGTAATGGTTGTAGCAATCATATTTTTACTGTTAAAACCTTTTCAGCATTTAAACAGTTTATTTATGACTGTTTCAACGTTTTCCGTGTTGGGACAGTTATTAAATAACTGTTACAACTTTCAAATGGTTGCAGCAGTCTTATTATGACTGTGACAACCTTTTAGGCGTTTAATCAGTTTATTTATGACTGTTGCAACGTTTTTCGAGTTGGGACAGATGTAAATCAACTGTTACAACTTTGAAATAGTTGTATCAGTCCTTTAATGACTGTGACAGTTATTTCTAGCGTTGTTGCAGTCGATTTATGTTTTAGACAAACACTTTTAAAGTTGGGACAGTTACAAAATAACTACAGCAGTGAAATTTAACAAATGTTACAACTTTAACAAACATTATCAGTCTTAGAACGACTGTTACTGGTATGGACAGTTGTTTTTTTGTCCAGTAGTGCTGTTTCGTGTATAAAATGTATAAAATAGATTACTTACTGTTAATACACGGTATAACTTCTTTGTGAAACAATCAATCACGAATGCGTTCGTATTGCATGATAATGGTTCTAATTCTTTAAATACACAAGATATTTAAAGATTGTTTTGAATTGTGTATTTAATTATGTAGTATGAAAACACATGAACAGGTTGTGTACGCGTATTATTAGTTTTTAATCAATAATCGTCACTTTAAAATTCTTTGCGATATTTGATGGTTATTAAATAAACAAATTTCACCCGACTTGTTGAAAGAAATATTTTATATTTAGCGAAACTAGATTTATTGAGAAATGCATGTTAAGTGTGTAGATATTGCAATGTGATTACATTGTCTGCTTATACCTTGCCAGGACCTCAGTATAATGTGACGAGTTCAGATTTAAAGAGAAAGCGTGGTTTTTTTCTCACCGCGCACATAATTGTCCCTCGAATTTTCCTTTTTGAAGCCCTTTTCAGTCCATTTTAGTATGCATACGGTATCATGAGAGAGTCCATAATGCACGGAAATTTATCCGCTCTATGGAATTTTAAAGTCCATTTTGATAAATTTTCATATATTTTTAACGAGCCAAAAAAATTTAAGTTCATTACTGTTCACACATGCCACTTGTTGTCCATGTCCATACCGATTCGGTACGAAATTAATATAAACATAGATAAATAAGTATATTTATGGCAAATAAAACAATTATCAAATTCGTTTATTATGATTACGTGTACGTGTAGATTGTAATATCCAGTTTTACTAGTACTTGTAAATGTTAAATTTAATCAAATAATATAAAATCTGATTGCAGATGCTATTGCTGCAACCCATATAAAGTCTTCTTCTGCAATGAAAAAGTTCAGTTTTTATTGGAAAGGGAAGCCGGAATGCCTAGAGAGAACCAACGACATTCGGCAGGAAAATTCAATCACAACCTCAGTGATGACAGGCTAGTGATACTGTAGATGGACTACTTAGACCACTTGGCCACCAAGGGCCCCTTTATGTGGATGATAATGTCGATAGTTTACATGGTTTTAACAACTAAATATTTTTTCAGAATTCCTTGCCCAACCCCTTTTCCCTAATATGAACAAAAAATTATGCGATAAAAACAAATTGCATCAAATAATATTTTAATAGTTATGTATATTTAATATCTCCATTCCTATCGGACGAGGCTGAGTATTCATACATCCTACACCACCAAATGGAGAATCTACCCTTGTATGGGTTCTACTAACGGATAGAATAAGTCCACGGGACCATATGACCAATTGCAAAGATACTGATATTATCATATATTAGAATCTTTCCTGTGTAAATTAAAGCGATTGCTCAGTAGCCAAAATTTTCATCAATTTCTTTGATAACGATAATCTTGAATTCAGATTTTGGACATCGCACATAAAGTTTATGGCTCGGTAATTGCAGTATAATGGTAATTAAAGACAGCATAATATCGACAGTCGTCACATCGTACATTTTCCCCGAGGTCCAAATTTGCACAGCACTGCAGACGTTGGGTTGTAACTAATTATGTAAGTTAATGTAAAAAAAAATACTAGACTGATCTTTGATTTATTTATTCTTTATATTTAGGATTTATTAGATATCAAACTTTAACATATTTGATGGGACTTTGTGGTGATTGATCATGGATTAATTATGGTTTTAAAGAGTCATGGATATATTATATAAATTATTTTACGAAATTTTGGCGGTTATATAACTAATCGCTTAAGTAGCACGAGATTGCTCGCACGTCTGGTGACCTTTTATGACTTTTGGGGCCGTGGCTAGACGCATACGTAGATCATGGCTAAAAGTGTTGATGTTGTATTTTCATGAAATTCAATTGAACAGTATTATGAAGACGAAGAAGTCACGGGCACCAAAGAAAATGATAGCTAGAAAATAGTCTGTGAGAAGATCTCTAAAACGAAAGAACATAATGACATACAATTATTTAAATGGGGAAGTGAAATTAAAAGGGGAGAACAAATAGTTTGTGATATACCAGTATGTAAGAATGTTTTACGATAGCCTCTTGTTAAGAGTGCATTTCTTTCTAACCTTAATTTTGTAAACGTTGTGTGGCGTTTGTTGTCGTTTGCTAAACGCTACAAAAGTAGAAACAAATGCATCGTTTAATCAGTGTTTACTGACCCTGTTCAATAATGCATGCACATTGTTGGTAAACAGACTTATTACGCGATTATTTTAAATGCGGTTCTTTCAACCAACATACGTAATAAATCTCAACACTTTACACCGTTTTTTTTTCTATTTCATGTGTATGAAAGTTTGTTGCCTATAATTAAGATGATTACTAACAGTGTTTCGGGATTTTTTTGCTTATACTGTTTCAGCATTGGTCCCTTTTAAAAAGTCTCCCGATTATTGCCTTGATTAAACAAGTTGTTCTTTTATATTTTTGTTACGTTTATGCGCCGCTATGATAGGCACTAGGATGAAGATTTCACCCATGTTTGTCTTTTTGCAGATTGTTCCAATGTTTTCTTATAATTTTACTAAAATTCAAGGTTGAAGTTAGAAACAAATGTAGCGTTTGCACTAACAAACGATGAACGACAAACTGTAGACGCATTTCTAGCGAGTGCATAGTTTGTTTAACGTATGTTAGAAACAAATGATCAAAACATGTGCGCGCTTAGCCGTTTGCATCGTTTGTGCTAGAAAGAAATGCACTCTAAGTATCTTAGATTTCGCATCCGTTTAGTAAACATGAATAATTACTAACCATTTTCAGGCCTCCATCGCATATTCAATCTCCGAAGAGTCAAGATTATTTTTCATCCATCTGTATATAAAGAATGCGATTCTACATTGGAATAGTGGTAAGGTTTTTAATGTTGTTTGAACATTCTTACGTGATGTGTTTTTGTTATTGTTATACTGTACACCTGTAATTATATGTGCATTTTCTTTTCTTTTTTTAACTTTCATAAATCAATAACTCATTCTTACGGAAATAGATTTTACTTTACCGAAATATTTATCGGGCTCTAAAGTGTTTTATCATTACTTATTCGACTTTTTTTACTACGATATATTACAAGCAATGTGGCATTTATAATTTTTCCTCTCTCTCTCTTGTTTTTTTTTTTTTATTTTATATATTTAAAGATAATTATATTAAGTATCAAAATCAACGAAAAGGTGTGGGGCAATAGATGAGTCTAGTAAATGTTTGAAATCAACCGAAAGGTGTAGGCAAAAGACCCCAGCCACGTGGGAAACTCTATACAAAAAGAGACCGTTCCCTATTGTTTATTTTCCTTTTCAGTTGGACGATGGTATTCCTTTGGTTCCTTCTTACGGTGTTAATATTTTCCAATTCGTTTGGTGTGCCCTTGTCTGTTATGACATTTTTTATTCGATGAACGTAATCTATGTATAACTTGTAAATTATTAGGTCAAGGATTTGTTACGGCCAGAAATCACCTTTAAATTCAACCTAACTGTCAAAATATATGTCCGATCTTTTGTCTTTTCTTTATCCGGAATTCTTCGCGGGAATCCAAACAGAATATTATGTCCAATAAGTCACAATCTAGTATGTTGTAGTTAACGTAAATAAAAATGTCAATCCAACTGAGAGAACTTCTGAGAATACAAGAATGTTAATGTCTGATCTGTAATTTCGGTATCTATATATATAGTTGTCACGGAATCTTCTAGAACACTTTAGAAAGGAAACTCCTAGAAAACTGTAGAACGGAAACTTCTAGAACAATCTAAGAAGTTTAAATTACGCATCTTTTATTATGATCATTCTGGAACCGTTATGTTAGTCAAATAGAAAGTTCTAATCATTCCATCAGTCTCTATCATTGTTCCAGTGATTTCTAAACTGCACAGTTACAATATCATAACAGATTTTTTAGTATCAAAATTCAACAAATAACTTAAGGCCTTTACTAACTTCTTTCATATTTACAAAGATTTGTACCTGAAGATACCTAAATATAAACGTGATATCAGATTCTATTTTTTCCGGCGATGTTGTTTATAAAGCCCGTGAATTTAGATACGATCCATGTTAACTAATCGATCCTTTAAATAAACTTATTTAGCAGTTTAGCATTGAAGTAAGATCTTTGAATACTATTGCAATCGGTGTTTTTGTTTTAGTAAAATAGAACACAATGAATATGCGTTGCTAAACAGTAATAAACACTTATGGTTCTACATCCTGTCGATACTTACATTTTTGAACTGCACATGGTCATGCTTTTCTCAGATTGTCTGTGACGTCTTTACACCAAACCTTTTTGATGAGTAGTGGTTAATGTTTCAATATGGGAAATTACGGTTTATTAAGTCTCCAACACAAAGTTTGGAGACTTATTGTTTTTGCTCATTTCTTCTTCTTATTATTATTATTCCTCTTCCCTCTTCCTCTTCCGCCGCTTTTTTAAATGAACTTGTCCGCACCCGTTCTCCAAAACAGCTAGTCAGATTTACTTAAGGTTTAATAATATGTTAGACTAACATGTCTAGTGGTGCAATCATGGTTTCGTTTGTGCATTGGGGTCTAAAAAGGGTACTTTGAGAGCCAAAAGAAGGGACGGTTTTACTATAGAACGCTATGGTATTTTAATTTTTGTTCTTTTCAAATGATTATAACTTGAAAACCGTTAGTGATAGACACAATCTTTATAATTGAAAATGTTCTACATGATAAAGCACATCAAATGAAATAAAGGGTTAGTCCCCAAGGGTCACCCCCATCCCCTGCCATTTGACAAAGTTCTAATATCTTGTAAGTGGTCAAGATCCCAAACCCAAACCATACATATTCTGGTTTGTCATGATAAAGCACATCAAATGAAATAAATGGTAAGTCCCCAGGGGTCACCCCACCCCCTGCCATTTGAGAAAGTTCTAATATCTTGTAAGTGGTCGAGATCCCCCACCCCTAAACCATATATATTCTAATTTGTCATGCTACAGTCCATCGAATGAAATACAGGATTAGTCCCCAGGGGTCACCCTCACCCCCTGCCATTTGAATATGTTCAAATATCTTGTAAATGGTCAAGATCCCCACCCCTAACTCATATATATTCCTGTTCATCATGTCACGAAGATTTGAATGATATATAGGGTCAGTCCACAGGGGTCACTAATGCATATCACTTTACTGGACCAAACCAATTTTTACTGGAGTTTATCCAATGTACGCAGACCATGGGAATGACTGTTATTACGGGAACTTTGTTTGGGAGACTTCATAACAGCATCCTGTTCAACCATTTCTTGTTGTTTACTTGTTGAAATTGGCTTGGAACTAGGAAAAGCTTTCAGTAACTTCGAGTACTGTAAGGCCGGCATTGTGTGTCTTTTGTGTATTTGTTAGCTGATTTTGTGCTTTGTGTCGATCTGATGAGTCAAGTCTTCGTCAACTGTTTTTTTTTACAGTTTGTTCTAATATGTGCTGTTACACAACTGTTCATGTTATCGGGAGGCATAAGCACTCACAGACATATTTTGCCTTGGTCCATTCGTTATGTGCCTGTTCAATTCAGGAGCCCTCAGTTCAGTGGTTGTCGTTGTTTGCTGTCTGTCATATGTTTTTGTTTATTGTTTTTATCACAGATTAGCCGATGTTTTTTTGCTTTCAATTGTTTTACAATTTTTTTCACGTCGGGGCCTTTTACAAATGATAGCTTTCTTTGCGGTTTTTGGTTTTGCTCATTGTTGAAGGTGATACGGAGATCCTATAGTTGTTTACATCATCGTCATTTGGTCTCTAGTGAATAGTTGTATTATTGGCATTCATATTGCATCTTCTTATTTTTTCATACGTAAGGAATTATAACCAGCGTGCATAATTTAAAATTTGAGTGACTACTTCAGAGTGAAATGTCAGCAAAGCAACTAAGAGACCTACTTAAAGAAATATATATTATAATAGTTTAAACAGAATGTGTTAGGTGATTTAAATCCTAAAATTGATACTGTTAGTCTAAGAGTACTTTTCTACAGACACTATATAATAGGCTTTTTAAGTCTACATAACAAATCGTAAAAATGTATAAAAAAAGTCATGAAATACAATTAAATAATTATGTAGTTAGATGGTTGGTACTTGTAAAATCTAAAAAAAAAATCATAAATATTGTGTCAAGTCTGTGCTCTAGAGAATCATTATGATACATCAAAAAGTTGGAATGATACAAGAAAGAGCAAGTCATCGACATATATCAGATCATCTCAAGTAAGAAAACTTACAATAAACACATGTCGTGTAGTAGAGTGCTTACCTCGAATGTAGGAGGTCGTGGGTTAGAACAAAAACCTTGTCAAATCAAATACTTTTAAAAATTGGTAATTGCTGTGCCTCCGTTAATCATACGCTATAGGAAAAAAGAACAAAGACTTGTCGATTCTGCGTTGGAATAATTTATCCGAGTAGGGTGACATATCTTCCTGCGGTCTTTTCCTTGTAAACAAGCACAATATAATCCGTCTGTTGATGTCGGTCTGTGCAAATCAGGCTTCGTTATCGTACCACATTAACATGTTTCCGTCCTAAATACGCATGCAATTATCGTTTCAATTGGACATTAAATGGCTATATGTCCATCTATAGCACCTACCAGTCTATTATTGAATAAAGCACGTCAAGCTGTGATACGCCAAATGCATGATATTGCACTGGCAAGAGCTGTTAATTATATCTCATGTTTGCATCAGCTTTTTTATTTCTTTAGATTGTTCAGTGCGTTTAGACACCTCATTTCATGTCTGTACACCATTAGACATATGTACCCGTAACAGTTATCAAAATTTATCAAATAGATAACATTTTGGGGGGAAATTTTTGTCGTTGTAAAAAAAACCTTTACACATACAGTAAAAAAAAGTGAAGGTGTAAATAAAAACCATTTATTTTATAAGTATTTCCAGATATGTTCAAATGTTGATACAGAATACCGAGAAAACTTTTCACTTTTGTTTGTTTTTTCTGTCGTCTTTTTCTGTGTCTGTGCTGCATTTTTCAAATGTTTATCATATAGATCTATTGCAATAATCCATTTACATAATGCTCCTGCTGCCTTTGAAATTTTCATCATTCTTTCAACAGTGAATTCTGGATCACTTGTGTAATTTTTACGTATTTCAATCATTACACCAGGCTGAAAAAAAGTATTACGAAATGTAAAAAGGGTTTCTTTCTAAAGGACGTCTTTCTAATGGACGTATACTAACATCTTATTTTATTCATATAAGAAACAGTCATATTATATTTAAATAACATTAGAAAAGCATTTGTAAATTCATATGATATTTATGTACTATACCTTTTAAGAGGAAATTCCAAGTTCCCGAGAAGTCTCAACGCTTCCAATATTCATTAAAATGCATAGAATCTAGGTTTATAATGTAACCGAATAACAAATGCTTAAATATTGCATTAAACTGAAATTCTGATAAGATGTTGGCACATTTTTGATGACTGTTTAAATCTAAAAGGAATAACATTTTACAAAATCCTAGATTAACTTTTAGTCCTGTTGTCCTGTGTAGAATTATACAAAACTTTTACTGAAATACCAAATTTGTCTTCACCACCAAAGTCTAGCAGTGAATGGTATGTGTACTTTATAGAAATAATGAAATTGTTGATAAATCTTAAAAAGTGCACGTATGGTATCTTATTTTGAAACTTGAAACTTATACAAGGGAAATTGTTCATACTGCTTTGATTTGAATATTGTTTATACAATGTAAAGTTAAAGTCATAGATTTTTTTTATAAATTCCGGTAGAACACAAACCTTGATCTAGCTTCAAATATATATTCTGAGTATCTATAAAACGATATTTTCAGCCTTTTCTGTACATGTGACAGTGGGTTTTTTCCGTCTTGCGCCGGTTTGTATATGCGTATGTTTGTAGTAGGGTCTAGGATTTTATTGAACGCAATAATTTTACAACTAAATATTATTTAGCAATACATCTGATATATTTGCAAAAGCTTTCACTAAAGTAAACTACCAATGCAGAGACTTGCCCTGAATGTATGACTCCTCTTATAGGAACAACGATATCAAGGCAAGTATAACTTATTAATATAATTTCAAATTCGATAATCCAATTTGACACTATGCATATAGATAACTTCACCACAGTTGAACCCTTAAAAACGCAATTTAAACTATCTTGAATTGTTCAGGGTTTTTTGTCTATATTTTCTTCAAAAATATAACAGTTTGAGAGAAACTTTAAAATGCCAAAATGATCAGTAAGACAACATCTACGAATTGGTCAAATGACTGAAATCATTAGATGACTTCTTATAATGAGTTATTGTCCTTACATGACAATGTTTAAGAGCTGTTTGAGTTTTTGCCTTCTATCTCGAAACTCGAAAACTTTAATAGGTTTAGTGAACTTTAAATAGCAAAATAAATGATCAGCAAGAACACCTCTAGGCTTTTTTATTTTAGTTCATTAAAATGTTTCGTAGTTAAGCGTGGCGTCCATTTCGCTGCGTTGAAGATGCATTGGTCTTTTCTGCTCTTTTGTCGGGTTTTGTCTCTTTTGCACATTCCTTGTTTCCATTCTCTATTCTAAGATCCACACATAAGTCAAATGGCCGAAATCGTCAGATGACTCCTTTTATGAGTTATTGACCTTAAATGACGATTTTTTTTTCTACCAATTGTTTCCGTATTTTGTCTATCATCTTAGAAACTATTATAGATACAGAGAAACTATAGCAAAATTGATCAGCAAGACAAAATCTACAAATATGTCTACATTGACAAATTTGTCGGTTTACTCTTTATAGGAGTTGTTGCCCCTAAATAACGATTTTTTTTTTAAACGCTATTTTGTATTTTGGGTAAAAACTGTAAAAGATAGAAAGAAACCGCAAAAGGTAAACATAATAACAAAGACAGGATCAACAAAAAGGTCAACAAAGCTGAAATTTGGATTCAAGTCTAATACGAGTTACTGCCCTTGAATGGTGGTTTTTACCAATTTTTGTGTTTTTGAAGCAGAAAAAATATCACTAATACAAAATCAATAACTAAGAGACTTTAGTCATTTCTAGTGAATTCTATTGTAATAATCTACAATGCTGAAGAGTGGCCATTGTTAAAGATGCACTTAGATCCAAGTGAGCGACACAGTCTATTTAGAGCCTCCAGTTTTATGCGGTATAACTTTAACTTTAATTAAATATGAAACATAGAATCCCAATGGTCAATATTAGGTTGTAAGAAGCGTATGGTTCATTCAACAGATACTTGGAATTTGTTGACATTCTTTGGTTTGATAGTATGTAATGCTAGTATAATTAAATTAAGTATTTATCGAGTTATATCTTTACTTTTCATTTGAAAATGTATTGTTTGTTCTTCCATTGATCGAGATATCTTAGAAACGGTTTAGTACTTGAAATACTAGTTAAATCCACATTCCTGTTTTTGTCTTTTTGTTTTGTTTTTTTGTTTGTTTTTTTTAATTTTTGGTGTTAATATTTGGTGGACTCTTTAATTCTTTTACAGCTTGCCTGTTGTTGAATGTCGTATGATGACCTAAAGATATGTATTTTGGTTAAATTTTCCGTTGGGTTGCTGTCTCGTTGACTTTTACTCTACATTTCCTTCAATATAATTCAATAGTCTAATAACTTGACTTGTTATCTTACCCGTATGTTGTCTTTGTCTACGTTTTTAAGTCTTTGTAGAAAGGAGTTTGGGTTACTGAGCTGTTTCTGTGAATCTGTCCAAGAGGAACACTTGCCATTCCCTAGAAGTAGACACACTGCTTGCATTACGTTAATAACACCACTCGGAGGATAGGCTAGAGATTTTAACTCGTTCAAGTCTGCTCTTTTTATCTAAAATATAGTGCATTGATATTTTAAGTCTAAAGTTACATGCAAATGTGTGTGCAAGGCGTATTCCTTTTATAAAAAAAAAGTTTTTACATGTTTATTTATGACAGAATATTCCAATGTTATATATAATACACATGATAATACGCTTTCGTTTATCTAATGTTTGCTTTTGTAAAAAGACTTTAAAGAAGGCCAACGAATGTTTATATATAATTAGTAACTTCGGCATATGAACAAACTATATTCTCAGTGATAAGTGAATATCAAATATTAAAAAGAGCTGGTTTTCTCTGACATGTGAGCAAGTTGAAATGGACATAGCGCTATGTAAAAGTCATTAATTATGAGTTTCACAGATGACGACGGATATGTTTCAATTGTCTTTACGGCAATCCTGTCCTGTTTTCCTCGAATGTGACCTACCGAATAAGACATAAACGGGTTTGTACTTATAAGAGCATCACGACGAATGCCACAAGGGGAACAAGATCTGTTTACCCTTCCGGAGCACTTGAGATCAACCCTGGTTTTTAGTGGGGTTCGTGTTGCTCAGTCATTAGTTTTCTATGTTGTGTTTTATGTACTGTTGTTAAACTTTGTCTTTTTGTCGTTTTTCGTTTTTTGCTATGGCATTGTCAAGTTTGTTTTCGACTTATTGAATATTAATTCCTTTTGTACCTTTCGCCTCTCTTTTAAAGGACAAAAAAATCAAAGCACAGTTTTGTTCATTTGTTTCAATAGTTATTTGTAACTTGTAACCTTTTACACCAACCACAAAAGGTCTGGATCTCTAGGTTCAGATGTTTTTGGATTTTGTGCTACATAAAATATAACATCAAACGCCGTAATTGTATACAAAATATGGCTATATTTTACAAAGCTTGTCTAAATTGTGTATGACCAAAACTTGGAAGTAAGTCAAATTTACAATTTCACATTCATATTAAATTTGTAATAAATAGTGAATGGAATGTTGTGTTACTTATAACTTTAATTTAAACACTATCATTCATGTAAAGGAATACTCACACACCTTGTTCATATCCTTCATAACTGAATTTATATCAACTTCGTTGGTCGTCATCATGTGGTATTCTTCCTCTAGTAGATTTATTCCAACATTTTGTGACAAAGTTCAGAAATAGCGCAATGTTTCTTTAAAAATATTATAATTGTATTGTCAAATTTGACAAAAGTTGAATCATACGTACAATGATCGATGAAAACAATATACGTAGTATTGTATTAATTCTTCCATAAAACAATTTAAATGTATTTTGTTTAAGGATTACCACCAGCAAGATTGACGTATTTTAAATCTCTTGAATATATGTTTTTAAAATTAACATGATGATATTATAGTTTCCAATTTCAGATGACGGTTTATAATTATGTAGAAATATAAAGGCCAAAGAAAACCTCCCTTTGTTGATAAGTAAAACGACAAAGATGTATTTAAAATTAAGATACAAATTTAAATAAATACGCTCATTGGACATTGCCCGATGATTCACTGAAATATGATCAGCTGGACTTCTCTTATCCGTCAGTATAACCCATACTAAAAAGGGGTATCATTTTAGTTGTGCGGGATGTATGAATACGCAGCCACGTTCGGTCGGAATGGAAACTTAAAACCCGATGAATCGTTCAGAAAGAGTGAAATGCTCTCTGAACGTTAAGGAGAATCAATACAAGTTTTCATTTTATTGAGGTGTCCGTATGTGGCATAAAAAATAAAATAACAAAAATACCGAATTATTAAAGCCATTATTATTATTATTTCATATGTAAATGAATAAAAAAACCGATGTGGGTTGTATGCCAAAACGACATAAACAAACAAAAGACATCCTCAGTTTTCAACAAATAAACAGGTATACAATATGTCAAGGTCTAAATCGTCCAGAGTCCAACAAACAGTTAAACAGAAACTATCAAACACCTGTTATCTACATCAAATTAGCTGAATAACAAAAAACCTTAAGTTATAACATTAGACATCACTCTCGAGATTCTTGACATGGGACAAACACGTTAATGTGTGGCGGGTTAAACTGGGTTTGGTATATCGTACATCTCCTTCCATTTTTAAAATTTCAATTGACCTACATGTACTTGCAAACTGAACACAAACGAACACACAGAAAAAATCCGTTCTGGAAAAGCACTTAACTCTAAAATAACGGTCATAGTATGATTAGTCTTCAGTTCCATAAGGAGCGGTATTTGGTCTTCTAATTACTTCTGAAACACAGATACATTTTATTCCTATTTAAGGTCAAAATAGAGAATGTTAAAATCATCAAAGAACAATCTTACAGAAGGTAACTATGATAACCAATAATTATCGCACAAATATAGTGGAGTTGTAAGTTCCAGTTACTACCTCCATACATATAGGATCTACACAAGTCTATATAGTAGGTTTTGTAAAGTGCAAAATATGGAATTTATGATTTTATAAATGATTGTATCATGTAGGGGATAAACTATTAGAATTATTATACTAGTACTTAATCATAGCCTAAAGCTTGAATCGCACGGGTGTTTACCACTGGTTTTTGACGTCAACTGAGATTACAACTAGAATAAATGGTCTACATTTAAAAAGTGTAAGTACTTTGTAAAAAGTTTAAATGTAACCATTACAAGACATTTTAATATAACAAGGAGTCATTCATTTTTCAACATAGAGTTGTTGCTAATCAATAGGATAACAGTATTGAAATTTCATTATTATTTGTCACTTATGCTGTAGGTTTGTCAATGTAGATTAAATTATACCATTCCAGTGGAATCGGCGCAAAATTTACAAATTATGCCTGCTATTCATTAGCCTTGAGTGCATTCCATGTATTTATTTTATTTAAATACACTCTAATATAGTTTGACGAGAACAATACTTAAACACCTGTAGGAACCTAAAAACCCTTCGGGACACTATGATTTTTCCATTCCCTAATTAAAAGATAAATGAAACATGATACAAAACATTGTTTGGTGGTAGTTGGCTACTAAAAACTGTTGTTGGAGTTCGTGTTGGCTACAAAAACTGTTGTTGGAGTTCTAGTTGGCTACAAAAACTGTTGTTGGAGTTCTAGTTGGCTACAAAAATTATTGTTGGAGTTCTAGTTGGCTACAAAAAAACTGTTGTTGGCGTTCTAGTTGGCTACAAAATTATCATAATTGACTTTTTTCTGTTGAAAAGGGTACACTGTAAAAACGGCGTTTAGAATTGAAACACATCTACAACATGTTTAGATCTAAACGTGTTTAGGAAAGCGTTTAGGATCTAAACGGATATTCACGTAAACACATTGAAACCTAAACATGTTTAGAATTTAAACGTGTTGCAGTTTTATTATCTGTGAATGTTACCAGTAAGCTAAACATTAAGTAGCATCTAAACACTTCTGAAACACTTTCTTAAACACCTAAACACATTATACCACTTCATTACTGATTTCACCTTTTTACTCGATGTTCCTTTATTTTCCAACGTATTCTGTGACACTATCTCGGTTTTATTGAAATGAAAATTATGGAACAGATAATTATATTTACAAATCAGTCCCAAGTATGAGTCAATATATGTTCCTGGTATGAGCTACTTATGAGAACAATTCATATCATCTTCCCCAACTGAGTTCCGCGGCCCTTTTTTGTGTTGTAAGATTATAGATTTGCTATCAATTAAAATTTCTATATGTTAAGCAATTACTTTTTTTTACTGAATCTTGATAGTATTTATAAGGAAGATATGAGTGAATATTTTCTTTAATTTCCGGAGTCGTTGTCCGACTATGATCTGATTTTATTAAACGAACAGAGTTAATCTTTCTTGGTAATTTGATACAGACGCCTTCAGACCCGCCAAAGACAAACAAAATTTAAAACAATGGATCCCATCGACCAAGCAAATATATCTATGGACGATGCAACAGATACAGAACATCTTATTAGAATATTGACGGAATCAAAAGCCAGCTTAACAATTATTACAGCAGCAGAAGGTAAGCAAATCCAGATTTCTTAAAAAGGGGGGTGGGGCACAAAACAGGCTTAGTCAGGAATATGTGCATTAAACTGTTAACCTATATGTATCTCTTTAAGGTGTCCAGACCCCCTTCCCCTCATTGTTCCGACTGTGATATTGTTGATAGGAGCAAACATTTAATTCGGGGAGGGGGGGTCTTGTATCCTCGTCTCATGGGTTTTCGTGCTATTAAGAATGCTTTGTGACGTCGCTGTAAGACTTCAAAGCAAAAAAATAAAATAGCCTTTCAAGACGTCATAATTAATTGGACTATAGTAGTACCGTTGTAGTTCACTGAATTTTCAGAAGAAACAGTCAGTCTATCATGTCTATGCACACATTTTATTAATGTATGAATCTTTGGTTTTGTTTGTGAAACATCATTGAGTTTTTATTTACATTCTGTATAGGTAATAGTATTCGTCCCTGTACATAAAATCATAGTTTCATGTATTTTAACTTTGCAAGAAATAAGATCCCAATGGCCCATAGTGCAACATCTTTTACACATATAAACACTGAAATTATAGTAACACTACATTTGTCAAAGAGAAACTAAGAATACCAAAAGAACATTCAAAATCATAAGTTGAAAATAAACTGACAATACCAAAGGATCATTCAAACTCGTAAGTCAAAAATTAACCGACAAGTTATTAATATATTTTATTTAAACCTTTAAATAAATTTAATAATTTGTTTGTATGTATTTATAGGACTGTGACACAGTAGTGGGAATGAAATCCCTAGAATATAGATCAAATCGAAGAAAAGATCAGATATAAAACAATGAAGAAAGAAAAGGATGACTTAATTTCAAAAGCAGATGTAAGTAAAAATATATAAGTATATTATTAAGTAGCCAATAGAACTATAATACATTGTAATATGATTGAAAAATGAAGGTTAATTCGTACTCTCGTATATATATCCTGTTGAAAATAGAAAAATTGGTAATTCTAAAAAAAATATATTACAAATAAGAGAAAAGACTGTAGCTCTCAGAAATCGAGGATTTTGTTTTAAAAATATAAAAAAACTTACATGCTATATTGTTCCCTTTGATTTATTTGTCTATTGATGTGTATATGGTTTAAAGTTTTGTCTTTTTAACTACAATTTGTATTTTTCTTTTGCAAGAATCTTTTGAGAACCTTGTTTAATGTATTTTAATATAAGAATAAGTGACTGTTGCACTACAAATGTACATGTACTTGAAGGTTTCATTTTTTCGTTTCAGTTTACAAAAGTTCACCTGACAACCAAAAAGAAATGCCCACCAAGAGCCTTTATCATTCAAAAGAAGATAGTTCCGTAATGAACAATTCCTGTATGATAGGAGATGGACTGACAATTTCTGTTTTGTTGAGGATAAAATTCATGTGATTTTACATTTTCCTGTTAATGACTAAATATGGCAAATTCTCTTTATTAAATCTATTAACACTTATGAAATTGGTGATGAAAATGTTATAATTTTTCAAGGGATGGGGTAATCGTAATCTGTAATCGTAATCGATTGTAATTGATTACATTTTTTCCAGTAATCGACAGTAATCTGTAATCGAAGACATCTTCGATTACATGTAATCGTAATTTAATCGATTACAGCAAAAATTATGATGTAATCATCGATTACTTTTCGATTACATTTCGATTACTTTAGTAAAACAGTTTGATGAAATATAACATATATTAAATAAAAATATGTATGTTTTCATCACTTTATAGTACAGATAAAAGTAGAATGTATTAAAATGACTGAAGAGTTTATCAACTGCCTTATTTCTATCTTTTGTCTCAAGCTGCAATATGATCAACCAGATCCCCTACCAAATTTTACTTTATATCTAGCTTTTGAAACAAATGAATTTATGTGCTTGTCAATAATTCAAGACCTTTTATATTAAAATAAGAAAATAGTTTTAAAATAAGAAATGAGTCTTAAGTTAAGTTCTGTACTACATTAAAGTAGTAAGTTTATTTGTATTTAAATTCCTTAAAGCATAATTTTCAATAAGAGTTGAAATTTTAGCTTAGAATAGATACACAGTTGATTCCTTATAATGTTATGATACAAAAATTAAGAAAGTACACTTCCTTACAACAATGAACCAATGGCTATGCATTGAAATTCTTTTTCAGAAATAGATACATGTATCCCATTTTGACACTATAAATATATATTGTTTATAAATTGAATAGAGAATAAAAAAATCTAAACAAACTTCTTGTCTTTACTAATCAGATGATCAAAGACTTCTAATCAATAAGATGCAGACTATTTCTTTTCAATTATTTCTAATTAAGAAGGAGATTTACATTATTTTGCCCCAGGTTATAAAGTGTACTCCATTGGCAATTTCATAACCTGTAATTAGGGTGGTTATCCAAACAAAAGGATTAATTCATGCATGTCATTATAATTATAAATTTCGATCTTTAAAATTAGCTGAACTAATTAATTATTCTACCTTTTTTACATTTTTTTTCAGAGGAAAATTCCAACATTGTAATTAACTATGTTAAAATATACCTGTTTTTAATTAGTAAAAAACAAAAAGCTAACTTAAGTCAGTATGAAAGCAAAATTTATGAAAAAATCTACAATATAGATAAGTGTTTGATGCAATTCGATGTCATCTCTCATTCATGTTGAAAGCCAAAATTTCAAGAATTTTTGAATATTTCTGATCCTCAGTAAGAGAATCCATCTAGAAAACAACTGTCAACTTAAAATTTGGAAACAATGCTTTAAATGCTGTTTTTGGTAAAGTTCTAAATTTCCACTATACAAACGTTCAGCAACAATATTGTGTTTAACTTACTTTATTATTTTCTTGTAATTTTGTAGCATGTAATTGACAGTAATCGAAAAGTAATGTAATTACTTTTGATAAAGTAATCGATTGCAATCGATTACATACAAAAATCAGAGTAATCGATTATTAATCGATTACAAAAAAATCCTTCATGTAATCAATTATTAATCGATTACATTTGTCAGTAATCGTGCCCATCCCTGATTAAATAATGTAAACTTGTTATTGTCTCTCATAAATCTGTACAGATTATATCAAGATTTATAATTGTATTTTTTGTTTGCTTTAAGTGAGACTTTTAAATAAAATATTGAAATAATTTGAATAGATTGTATGTTATCATCAAGTCTGGAATAAAAAAACAAAATAAAAGATCCAACCTCCATATTGTATTTAAAAAGGTAAAGGTCCATAAAACCTGAAAAAATCAAACGCTTGACTACATAAAGCAACAGAACAAATGGAAGCAAACCTGTTATATTCCTGACTTCGTACAGGCATTTTCCTTTAAAAATAATGGTGGGTTAAACTTGGTCTTATGGTTTACAGACTTTTCTTAGGCCTCCAGGAAGAATAAAAATTAAAAATGTGTAACCCTATTATTATTGTTATTATTATCATTACTGCAGTTTTCTAGCATTAGTATTTTGTATTGACGAGGACAAATGATGGTAAAAATAATTACAAGGACATTTAAGCAGATTTGTACACTTGAATTGTATATTCTACAATATTTTACAATGCACTATTAGTATCCAATCTGTAGTGCTGTACCACTAGTAGCCTAACAGAAGGTCTAAACATCTGACATCTAAACACTTGTTGGAATCTAAACACTTGTTAAAATCTAAACATGTTTAGATGCTAAACGTGTTTCAAAACGTACACAGAAAAAGTGTTTAGATTTGTGTTTAGAATCTAAACACTGTTTTTACAGTGTAATCAATATGAAATTCTACGTCTGTTGTCATGCCCTTACAGAGCACAGTGGGTTTATTGGTTTGAACGAAACTTGTTGGTGATGTAAACATTATTATGATTAAAAAAAAGTTAAACATTTTATATTTTAGATACTCGTGTTTGATTTTACCTACATTACAGTACTGTCTATGGAAATCTTCAAATTCTGTTCAATCTGTTAAAATGTGTTACTAGTTAATTGATTATACAACCCTCCCCCTTTTCTGTTAATCTGTTGAAGCGACATTTTCTTTAATGCGACGGTTAACATTATAATCTAGTAAACCTGTTTCAGCTTTTTGTATTGTGCCTTCACAGGCTCCCAAATATCCTGCCATAACTTTCAACAGCAACCAAGATCACTGGAGTTGTGGGATCTCTTTATCGACGACTTCCGGATCAACCCCTCCTGATTGTACACGTGCATGTTCCCTATTCATAAGTATCAGTGGTCGCTCATAATATTGTCTACATTCTTTTCTCATCGATTTGTCCTTTGGATTTCGAAAATTACTTAAATAATCGTCCCTTTTTAATTCCAAAATTACTTAAATAATCGACAAAGTTAATTGTAATATGTTTGTCAAAAAACGAGTTCTTTAGACAAAATAGTGCAGATTCCTCAAAATTGTATTTAAAATTGAGGAAACGGTATACAATGTCTGTTAGATTCTATTAGATATACCTGTATTTCACTAAAACGTCTAAAAATACGTGGTTTTAGAGTACATTGTAATCACATAAGTCTTTTAAAATATGTAAGTAAGCAAGTTGTTTCAGTTAGTCATGGAATTAAGACTGTTTTTTTCTTTGCTTGCCTTTTATGTTCAAAGAAGATACATCATAACATCTAGTTATAATTTAATTTGCAATTTTCTGTATTTTTTATTGCTATTGTTGACACGTACGTTGAGTATATTCTTCAAATTAAAATTATTACATGAAGAATATACGGCTATTTTGTACATTTGCATGACAACATTTTTTTTTTATTCTTTTCATTTATCGGGTTATGTTAGTAGTAAAAAGGACAAGGTACGATAAGCCCCCGTTTTGGCCCCCCTATTTTCATATTTTTCAAATTTTGTTTTGGAAAGCTACTTATCATGTTAAAATATTCCCTGAGGTTGGAAGTTTGTTTGGATGAACTTAAAAGCCATTAATTTCAGCAACTGGGTGAGGTGAGGGGGTAAACTTTCCGTTATTATTAAGATATTGTAATTATTATTAACTTTGGAGGTGTTCCGTTATTATTAGATGAACAATTTGATCATTTTTAAATAATAATTTTAACTGTTTCATTTAAACTAATTAATTTAAACTAACACTTTATAACCATATATGATTATACCAGGAACGAAACGTCTCAGTTACAAAACAACGAAGTTACGAATCGACCAGGTACGAAACGACCAGGTTACGAAACGACATGCATTCCACACAGGTTGTATACGTAATGTCAAATGATTACCTGTAATCTAAAAATAAACAAACTTAACTGACTCCCCTTACTATAGTGTGTGATAACATTTTGTGAGGAAATTCGATGTTTGCTATACCACTGTTCATTTCAACGCACTTTATGACGATACCACTTTATCAATATGAATGAAATTTTTTGCAGTGTTTTAAGAAATAATTTTACTTTAAAATCGCGTATCATTTGTGAACTATTAAATGTTTTACAAGGACGAATTTTCTGTATAAAGTCAATAATTGTGTGAACTTTTGAAGCCCAAACTTTTTATAGCCTTAAATACGCTAATGAAAGATCCGAAAACTATACCCATACAGAACGACATGTTTTTGAAATTGTAGCAAAACTTTTGGTTGACAAATTTTAATTCGTTATTGCATAAATATTAACTTGAAATATCTGTCATTTTCTCCCTACCAAGTTTACCCCTATTACTCATTATGATGTGGACTGGACATTGTTATTGAATCTTATGCAATTTGATTGGATTAAGTTATTATTAGATTACCTTCAAACTGTTCATGCTTTTTCGTACGAGTATATCAATTAAATCAGAGCGTGCATGAATGTGTACAGTAAATTAAATGACCTGCAAACTGGACACTGGACCAGTCCATATTACGTTTTATCAATGAATAGATTTTTTTTTTTTGTATTTTCCAAATTACAGGGCCCATAAAGGGCATAAAATCAGATACAATTGATTTACATAATTGGTAACAACAACAACAATAATAGCGGCATATGAATGAAACTTAAGGTATGAAAGGTAACAATTGCCACTTTTTATCTTTTCACATAATTTTCCACATACACATTAGATAAATTATTTTTGATAGCCTATTGCGGAGAAAAAAGAGAAAGTTTACTGTATTAACGTTCTATTCCATTAAATACGTCATTTTTCGCAGAAAAACATTTTATGCACGGCTACGCCAGGTAAAATTGTTGTTTATCCTAACAAAAAAATACAATTTTCAGTTTCATTAGAATATTATAATAATAATAAATCCCAAATTTATGTAGTCATTAGATAAAGTCCTTATATGTCCGATCTGCCTATTTTTGGACATCAAAAGACAATACGATCGTTTTAAGGTCAATTTCGTCTACCTCACACAATCTTGTTAGGCACTATAATGAAATGGACCTGAAATTTATTTCACATGTTTCCTGAAAATTGATAAATATCAAAGCAACATAGAGCTGTTTGTTCTAGTTCGTATAATGACAATTTAATGTCATGTTTGTTTGTGATGACCCCCCTTTTCGGGATTGCATCAGAATTATAGTTATCTCGTATCGCATGAGGATGACACATATCAACTGAGCAATTATGTTTGGGACTTAGTTTTAAGAAATGATGTCAAAGTAACATTATGAAAATATTTTTAGTAAGCTGAAATATATATTTATGTCTTTATGTCTTGTAAGATATTTTATTCCTTGCCCGTTTTTCAACATTTGCGTCAGGAAAGTTGAAATGTTTTAACTGAATGGTTAATTTAAATTAATTATGAAAATTGTTAAAATTAAATCAATAAAGGAAATTATTGCCCAGTTACAAACACTACCAGGGGACAATCCATATTGATTTTTTTTTTAGTTATATGTTTCAGCACATGTATAATTAACCCCAACTTTAGCCTGGTAAACTTGTTGTCTCCTTGTGAAATATAAAACATATTTAAAATGATTTCCTGCTAAAGTCTTTTATTGATATAAAGTTAAAACCGTCTTGCTTCTCACTAGTCAACACTCCTGTCCTGTCAGGTTTAATTCTTATATATATGGATGAAAAATAAAAGTCCACAAAGCATTAACATGGCAGCAATTGCTTTTACAGCCTTTAAGGCTTTGATTTTTTTTACAGAAGAGTGTCCACCATGCACTTGCACTGCACTATAATAATAGTAGAATAGAATGATTTACAAATAGATGAAAATTATATATACATGCAACCGTAATATTAATATAATATATAACAACAAACCAGTGTTTTTCTGGAACTATTATTATATTAGTATAATAGTCTAAGGTATACTGATTTGTATCACTACAATATAATAGTTATTACGGTGAGGTTGAATTTCCTGTCATTTATTCATCATCCAAGCAGGAACTTGTATCAGAAAAAAAAATCTCTGTAAATTAACATCAGTTTCAGGTATAGAGATGTGATCTGTTTCTGTGACATGTGCTTTTGACCATACACAAGAACCTGCGGTCATCCGATGTTCAGTACTTCAGTACTTTGATTTAGTTTTTAAACGGTGCCTGCGCCAACGTGACCCAGGAATTTTTTTATTACAATGTCATTATCACTGTTTTTGCTGTCTAGATCGCCATAATTTTCTCCGGGTCACGTAGGCGCACGCTATTAAAATTTTAAGAAACGCAGGCCAAAAATCGTAATTTTTCCTACTTTAGGCGTCTTTGATGCCCTTTCACCCCCCTCACCTCACCTAGTTGCTGAAATTAATGGCTTTGAAGTTCATCCAAACAAACTTCAAACCTAAGGGAATATTTCAACATAATAAGTAGTTTTCCAAACTGACAAAATTTGAAAAATGAGAAAATAGGGGGGGGGGCCAAAACGGGGGCTTATCGTACCTTGTCCTTTCTTCATATTGTCTTTTATGGTTAAAATCATTACCAGCTCTGGTCATTTAAAAATGATTTGCCCTGTAAATAATATTGATCGAAACTAAGGTAAACACATTGACAATGGCGATGAAGAAGTAAGTTTCTATTTTGTATATTTTTATGACTTACGTATGCAATATACATACACCTCTAAAAACAATGTTCAGAAGATGAAATGTGTAAAAGAAAAAAAACTTTTATTGTATATGTCAGTTTATACGTTAATCTGTGTTAACAGACTGAAAGAATCAATAAAAGAACGATAACTTTCAATTTTAAGTGTACAGGTAAACTATTATAATTTTGCCATATTTATAACACAGTTATTTCCCTCTATTTGTCTATTATAACACAATTTTGATTTGTTTTTATTTGTTGTTTTTTTTTTAGGGGGGGGGGGGGGGTCTATGTTGTAACAAAACATTTAATTTAAACCAGAGACATATATAGTCTGTGTTTAAACTTATTCGCAAGTATTCTTTCTCTTTCTATATTCAGTGAGAAATACATCGTTTTGTTGAACCCCAATTTCTTCACCCAAATCGACATGAATATTTGGTGAAAACCCGCAACAATTTCTCAAACTTGTACATTTATCAGTCAAATTAGACGTGTCCTGATTCAGTGCTGATGGCTCCTGATTTAGTGCTGTAGTTTCCTCATTCAGTGCTGATGGGTCCTGATATAGTGCTGGTGGGTCCTGGTAACGTGCCGGTAATTTTAACAAGACGTTAACTAGTCTTATTCAATTAAAAGTAAATAGAATTAGGCAAAGATTTGAATGTACAGTAAGTAAGTAAGTAAGTAAGTAAGTAAGTAAGTAAGTATTTATTATAGTGACATGTGTATCATTACATACATTTATACAACAATATGGATAGCAATTTGATATTTACACTCGGCCTATTGGACCTAAAAATGCCCTTAAAATAATTATTTTCGACAAAATAATATGCAACAAAAACACATCTTTCTATAAGATATTCAAGTGCATAAGTTTACGAAACATTTTAAATGGCATTGCATTTTTACTCTTTTACTTTGATATGTGTTTCATCTTATTAGAGACTTTTGCATATTGTATCTTAGCAAGATACACTTTATCCTATCGGACCGTTTGCTTGCGCTGCGTTCGGAGTGTGACGATTCGTTATATAGGTCTTTTCCAAATGTATTTACTACTACATGTTGCCTCTAATTTTCCACTAATATACGTTGTCCCAAATTAATTTCGAAACAAAATAAAAAACCGGCATAGACATAGATGACCGATAAAAACGGACTCATATGGAACAAAGATGTAAACAATTACAGGTTAACGTTATATCTACCCTTCATCAACGAGCAAAAACCATACCGTAAAATAAGCTATAAAAAGCTGCGGTACGGCAAAATGGAAAACGGTTCAAAAGAGAAGACACTCGGCCTGATTTATAGTATTAAATGAACTAATAACAAGTATGACAGACAGCAACCAACGAAAACCGCTGGCCAATGGCACTGGTGACAGGATTCAAAATGTTTGTTAGCATTCAACCCTCCTTCAACTTGAGCCAGTGGTGTAAGAACAAAACATAAGAACAAAACATAAGAACAAATTGTAAAAAATCATGCAGTTGGAATGGCCTTATCTAATATATTGGTACCTAGAACAAAAACAAATTCAACAAATAACCAGGTTCTCCAAGTCTAAAATGTACATCGGTACACATTAAACATCTCAAGTTCATAACTTTTAATCTTGCGATCAGAACTGTGTGCGAAGACAACACTGAATGCTGAATCTTGTGCTCACAACAGCTTTATATGTATACATCAGACATTCAGTAGTAATGTGGAAGATAGTATTTTATCCAGAAAGGGATCGAGGTTCCATGGAGATATACATAAAACATGCTGTATGAAACTATGTGAATATATGTTCGACTTCCCCATTTCCCTTTGTCCTTTCATTGTTACAAAGACATTCGATTTTAGTTGTGGAAGACACCTATTGCTTACACTCTGAATCAAGATGTTTAAATTCATTTGATTGGATAAAAAGAAATAAATCTTCAATACCTCACACGAAATTAGCCTTTTTACCAGGAAAAAGAGATCCAGAATATTAAAGCCGCATCTTAATTAGTGTACAAAACTAATGCTTGTAATTTGTATATCAGAAAATGGAATATTATCTGTACAGGGTAAGGCTTGAATATATCTTTTTAAGACCGGCTGTCCTATAGCCATTTTCCCTATGCCAATTCTTCCGGGGGGGATACTGGATCGATCTATTTTTCCCCAGGAAAAATTGGCATGATGTAAGTTTTCCTCCTCAGTGTGATGGGTAGAAAACCAGGATCTGACCTATTTTTCCCCTCTTGTGGTTTTAAAGGAAAATATAGCTTTTGTATGTAGTGTCAATTTCTAAACGATTGTATGAACGACTGCATTTTTTTTTGTCTAAGCTACTAGTATTTACAAAGTAGTACAGTGTACACTACACTACAACGTTAAAGTGAGGACTGGAAATGCAATGGCTATTTGTCATGACTGTTTAAAATTAAACGGGTTATACTCTCCATGTTTACATTAAAATAAAAGGAAAAGCTACTTTTAACAAACAAATAGACTTATTCATCGACATTTGAACATGCAAATCATTGAAAATATGATTTATGTAATCCATCGCCCTTCAGCGTAACCACCATCGCACCTCTGTGAATAATTAGTATGTGTTGCGTGGCTTTCTGTAGTAGTTCGTTAGTTCCAATGGTCAAATCCATGTGACACGAAGAAGGAATTTGTTTGGATGATAACAGTTATTGTAGGAATGTTTGAACATATGATATGCTCTTGGATATGATTACTTTATATACTGTTCGGGACCACCCGGAGATGAGTGCTTATTGTAGAAGGGTCCCATTGCATTGGATAGTATGAAATCAATTGAGATCTAGTTTGCGTGTTGAATTGGGTAATTTTGTGCGGTCTTCAAGAAAATAGAATTACAAATTAGCGTAAAATGACTGAATGACGCTATGAAATACAAGTGTGAAAATACCTTTAAGTTGAGAAGAATCAAATTAGAATTTAATCTCATCCCCTTCAGCGTAACCACCATCGCACCTCTGTGAATAATTGGTATGTGTTGCGTGGCTTTCTGTAGTAGTTCGTTAGTTCCAATGGTCAAATCCATGTGACACGAAGAAGGAATTTGGTTGGATGATAACAGTTATTGTAGGAATGTTTGAACATATGATATGCTCTTGGATATGATTACTTTATATATTGTTCGGGACCACCCGGAGATGAGTGCTTATTGTGGAAGGGTCCCATCGCATTGGATAGTATGAAATCAATTGAGATCTAGTTTGCGTGTTGAATTGGGTAATTTTGTGCGGTCTTCAAGAAAATAGAATTACAAATTAGCGTAAAATGACTGAATGACGCTATGAAATACAAGTGTGAAAATACCTTTAAGTTGAGAAGAATCAAATTAGAATTTAATCTCATCAATGAGGATTTTCTTTGACATGCCCTATATAAACGTGTAGTTAAATATTCTAAAATATACTAAATTACTACCATGTGTACCCCATTTAATAAGTTTTGTTGCAACCACGGGGGTCACTTCCTATAAATAAGTCAGTGGCGGATCCAGTGTGTTCCGAGGGTTCGAAACCCCCATTTTGTTTGACAACTAATGCTTTTTTATGGGGACATACGGTTGGAATCCCCCTGTTTATATGACTTGCATGTGTTGGAACCCCCTTTTTACAAATGGCTGGATCCGCGCCTGTAAGTTATATACCGATGTCCGTTTTTCAGGATGTTAGATATATATGAATGGCATATGTCCATGGGTGGCAATTTTATTAAACAATATATCAATGGGTCTAAATATTTTTATAAATATTGAATAAATTTATTCCTGCGGTGAATGTGTTAATATACAATTATGGCCCGTTGAAAAGGTGAATATCCAAAATTGTCAACACGAGAAGGTTATTTCACTGAGGGCGCAGCCCGAAGTGAAATAACTTTTAAGGGTTGACAATTTTGGATATTCATCGCTTCTAAGGGGCCACAATTGTTTTATTATACCGAACTAACAGTGAAAGGGCATTTTGAATCATTGTAAAAGCACTTACCCTTAGTAACAAACATAAGTTGACGTTCAAAAATACATGTAATTTGTGTCTTAGAATTCTCGTATGTACAACAAAGGTAGATTCTTTTTGTAAAATATTGATGGCCCTGAAAAGGACCGTTATTAGAGATATCATCGGCACAAGATGCACGTCAAAAGCCTTATTTCCTCTTCTCTCGATCAATGGGCTTCCTGTAACTTGAACGTTGCCATTTTGTTTATTTACGTCTGTGACGTCATTTTCATGAGTACAAATCAACAAACTAAAAAGGTTATTCGCCGGTGAATAATAGGGTTATTCAACGCTGGTGTAAATTTTTAGGGTTATTCGTTCTTCCTTGCAATTGAATGAAAATTAACTGAATTATTCCATGTCACGTGATAACGTTTAACCCAATAGAATTGTTTGAAATATATGTAAGGTATAATAATCTCCAATGTTTACCGTAGCATTTATCATCCACAATAAATATGAATAGGAACACATTTTCATGTCAGCCATACGAATAGGTCGGATTTTTAGACAGAGTCAATATATGAATGGGGGTATTTTTTTCGAATGCAAATGGCATCTCTGTATCAAAATAAATGACCCCATCCCCACTCTATGACCCTAGACCTTTCAAGTGAGACGCGTGTAGACAAAACCAACACAATTTGTACCTAACATTTCTTCTTCAACCCAAGCCGAAAAAAACAGATTATTTTAGCATTCCAGAGATCAATATTTATGCAATAAATAGGCGTGCAATTTTGGTGTACATATATAGTGAAAACCATATTGTGGAGGAATATGGGCAATTGGTTGAAAGTGGCTATATGTTTATGTATTGTCAGCTTTCTGCGGGAGAAGAATACACCTTATCGCTATTTGTCCGCCATTACTGGACATCACAAAAGTTCCCGTACAATTTCGACGTCATAATAGAAAATATCTGACGCCACAATGGAAAAGTGATTGTTGTATGACGTCAAAAGTTCAAGCGGGACAGATTGTCGGGTCAAGCGGGAATAGCAATAAGGTGTATGGCAATGATCCAAAATTTCCCCGGGGGGAAATGGTTATAGCACCGGCCCTAAAAGATGACACCACGTTCCCAAGTATATTCATTACTTTACTTTTTAGCCGACCATTTTTAGAAAATAATCTTTCCCATCTTTATCTTCTAGCCAAATAATAGATCATTTAATTTATACTTTTTAGACAAGCTGATTTGAAGGATCAAATAGTTTTTTTTATTATTTAAATATTTATGTCATAGATTTGTGGTATTTTGCACGTTATTTTATGGGGGTGGTCATGCACATCTATATACATACATAATTTCTTTAAAAATCGGAAATGTACAAAATGGACTTTTACTTTACTTATCTGACATATTGCAGCCACCAAATGTGTGCTAGAAGAGAGAGGCGAAGGATACCAAAGGGACATTCAAATTCATAAGTCGAAAATAAACTGACAACACCATGGCTTAAAAAGAAAAAGACAAACAGACAACAGTACACAAAACAACATAGAAAACCACAGACTGAGCAACACGAACCCCACCAAAAACTGGGGGTGATGTCAGGTGCTCCGGAAGGGTCATGATATCATTTCTATTAATCTTAATATTTTTGTGCATCAACAGTCTTAAATATTTGCCATAATATACTATAACAAAAATAGCACAGTACCAATTTCCTCAACAGACCAGTTTCAGAACAATTTCCAGTAAAGAATTTGTACACCTTTTGCAAACAAAATCGTTGAAATATACTTTATGAAATACGTATTTAAGCTATTGATGAAAGAATACTAATGCCGTTCTAATAAAATGTAAAACAAAACCACCAGCACATATCAGGACGAAATCACTACCACAGAACATTCTATAGCAGGACAACCTTACCGACTATGAATAGTATTGAGGATTCTTTGACAACTTTCTAATATGTTACAAAGGTCAGAATGTGAACACAAAGAACAAGAGTTACAGCTTACGAGTTGCGAAAACAGAAGATTGCGCATTTGAAAATGGATTTAATTTTTGGCTTCTAAGACGGTTGGTATGCATTTTCGTTACGAACAGAAATTGAATCACCACTATGAATTATATATGTATAACAACCGTATAAAGTGGCTTGAAGAAACTAAATTCCTGGCTTTATTTTTGAAAGGACGTTGACATTCCTTTTCATGTTGAAATGACTGAAAGCATGTGTGGTTTAAAACTTGTGCCTAGTACCGGTTGGGATTTTACCTAACCTATATTGTTCTCTCGTGAGGTATAAATTAGAGTAAGCTTCGATGGTCTAAGCCGTTACCGCATGGAAATCCTATGCCCAAATGTGTGATTGTACTTCATCAAGGACTTAGTTTGTGTCTTGGTGCTTATTGAACCTCTACTGTTGAAAGTTCATACAGCTGGTGAGAATATATTTGAACATCAACGCTTCAAGTTGAAGTTTTAATGTGTGTCGATGCTTTGCGTTGAATTTTGTTTCAAACACATGAATTGAAATTATATCCTTTAGGTATTCCAATTAAAGCCTCATTTTAATTCTTCTGATATTACCCAAATATTTCCGTTGAAATTTCCTCCATGGGAAGTGTTGTCACCAGATATATGGTATGACCTTCGTAAACATTTAAAATTTGGATGATTGTAAGTCAGTTGTTGTCTTCAGTCGATATTCGCTTTTAGTATAAACCAGAACGTTGGTTTTCTTGTTTGAATAGTTTCACATTTTGTAATTTCGTGCCTGTTATAGCTTTATATATACAGTATGGGTTTTGCTTATTGTTAAAGTGACTTATAGCAGTTAAATCGTCGTCCTTTGGGCACTGGTGGATTGTTGTCTCTTTGGGCAATCATGTCACATCTTATTTCAATATTATATTTTATTTGCACATGCGGAGCAGTTGACTGTGCTTGAGTCTATTCGATAAAGTTGAATTATTTCACGAGGTCTTCATAAATGATTATCAATAGATATTTTCTATGAAATGGCCTGAAACGTCGAAATCGCCTTATTTTGAGAAACGTCGTGAAACGCTAAGTAGTACCAACATCGTGCGCAACGTATAGTCTAACTATAAGTTGAAATTGAGCTTTGAATAAGCCTTCATTGATTACGGGTACTTTTAGGTCGCTTCTTTGTGTCTTTATTTCACTTTGTTGTTGTTTTAGGTTTATGTGTGTGTTTATGCTTAATACCGATATTATGAGTCAAACCCTCTCCAACTGATTTTTATTGCGTATTTTTCTAGCACTGTGCTTTTACACCAGGCACTGCCCCTGTTTAGGGGAAGGGTTGAGAGCTTACAATATAAGAATAAGGAGTTGTAGCGTTATTGTCAATTAGACTTATCTCCACCAGAGACCAGAGGAGATGCGTGTTAGCAACTATATGTCAGCCTTTAACAACGAGAAAACCCATGGAGTATAGTAATATGTAAAAAGCCCTGAAATGACAAAATGGGAAACTCTTTAAGTGAGAAAATCAACGACTTGATTTATGCTAAAATAATAAACAAAAAACAAGTATGACAGAGAGCAACCAACAACAACCACTATACAATTTTTTTAACCCCCGACAATGTTTAAGTGCCTGTCCGAAGCCGTAAGCTGTTATAGATTAAAGTCATATGCCCCTTCAAATTTAACAAAACGATGAATATGTTTCATATAACTGAATGAATAATTATTATTATAAACCGTACAAATATATTTTTTTTGACAGAAATTCCTTTATTTTATCCAAATTTTCAGATAATGTACTGCTTTGAATTATCATCTTCTCGTATTCTAAGAGGGTGGTAAAGGGCTATTTTCGTACAACGTGATCGCCTTTTTTTATTTCACGTTCAACGTGTTTTTACTTTTTTATTTAACGTTCAGTCGTGCAAGACAGGTGCCTCGTTCAACGTGTTCTGCTTATTTAATTTTACATGCATCGTGATTTTCAAATGCTTATTTTGCGTGCTCGGTATTTTTCAAATAAAATTCAAATACTTGGCAGGGATCGTCAAGAAATACTTTTTTAAAAGCTGTAAACCATTTACATCATAAATGTGTATACTAAATCGGGAATAACAAGTAAAACAGAGAGTTTATATATACAAGAAGACAGTGACTCAGTCACAAAAGGTTCACAACAGTCTTTATTTTTCGTGCAACGTTCATGACAGAAATTATTTCACGTTCAACGTGAAATTATGTCTTATTTCACGTTTTTTCCGTGCAAGCACCCCCCCCCCCCCCCCCCCCCCCCCTTTACCACCCTCTTCTAATTCGCTGACAGCTGTCCCGTTTGCAGTAACCTAACATGACACCGTGCGTTAGAAAATCGATAATCGCACTGCGCAAGTCCGAAGGGGAACACCGTGATGGAAGACAATTTAAACAAACGTAAAAGGAATAGTATTAACAGATTCTGAAAGAAAAATTATAATACACCAAATCATTTAACAACTGTTATAAGGCAAAAGTTTATTAAAAATAAATCGAAAACATACACAAATAAATAAATACAGTTGACCCGTAGTTTAACCAACACATGTATTTTTTGAAAACATCAGAAATAAACTATGACATTATCCAATTTTCAATTACAAAGGCTATTTCCATTAATAATTTATTACATGTATTTTTATTTTTGAAGTATCCATCAAGTGCTGGTGGTTGGGGATTTAGAATGCGGAAAAACAAGTCTTATCAAACGATTTAAGGTGAGACACACATCCATATAAGTAGGTAAACATTTAAGATTAAATATACACCTCGCAACTAATTTCGTTGGCGAGTGTATAATATGTTTGACTCGTCAGTTATCATTTTGTTACAAGGATTACACCTTCATTGTTTAGCAATCAAATTTGGTTGAAGGTTTTAACTCATCAACTGTTCTGATGAGTTCGATAAAGTTCTATGCCGATGATGACTATCCTTTTGTCAATTTGACATTCAACCATTAAAATCACTTACTTACAAGTTTTTCTTTGTGGCGTTTATGCTATATATCTAATAAGTAGTAGTGTCATAAAGACAGATAGAATTTGAAAAACAAAAATTAGCATGTATGGAATAATTGCGTTAATCATCTTCCATAAACCTTAAAAAATAGTTTCTTAGAACCACAGTTTCAATTGTTATCACTTTGGTTAATTTTGGAGATCAAAATGATTTCTCGCTGGGCTGTTCATTTTGTTTGTTTTATTTTAAAATGAAACAATATGACAGCACTGCTTATTTTTATTCTTTTTTTTACATATCTTCCAATTGCTTTAGTGAACTTATAATCAATAACGTCATTGCAGAGAAAAAGCAAAACTATGAAACATTTTGAAGGGAGTTAATATTTGTTCTCCTGTTTTCTCATTGTATAAGAAAACTATCGTATTGGCAATAAAATGCCGCACTTCGAAATACAAATATTCCAGTCTAAACAAACTGGTACCGTGTTTAAAGACATGTTACAATCTTCCCACAATAAAAGGCACAATTATTAACAGCTGATTATTATTGTTTGATATTTTAGGAAGACAGCTTTGATGAAACCTACACACCTACACGGTTATTTAATTGGGTATGACGATAGTTACTTCATGATTATTATTATCAGTAGAATTATTCATTACTTTTCTGAAATCATTTATTATGTTCTTTTATTTTTTTTTTCTACTTGATATAATAATAAGGAGATGTGGTATGATTGCCAATGAGACAACTATCATGGCCACCAAAGTTCAAATGTAAGCAAATATAGGCAACCGTACGACCTTCGACAATGAGAAAAACCCATACCGTATTGAGCATCCAATCGTATTTAAAAAGAAAATTTGATGAAAAGTACCTTATTATATTACAATAAGTATTAATGGAGCGAAACCAGAATTTAATTATTGTTTGAGTGGTCATTTGATTGATTGAGTGACTTATGGCTGCTTTACGCCAAGCGGCAAGTATTTCATACATATTAAAGACAATAAAATTGTACATACATTATATAGTTGGCAAGAAGACGTTTCACCCTCTACAAACACATTATTTTTACACCGCGTCACACAGTAGAATTATTCATTACTTTTCTGAAATCATTTTTTATGTTCTTTTGTTTTTTTTTTCTACTTGATATAATAATAAGGAGATGTGGTATGATTGCCAATGAGACAACTATCATGGCCACCAAAGTTCAAATGTAAGCAATTATAGGCAACCGTACGACCTTCGACAATGAGAAAAACCCATACCGTATTGAGCATCCAATCGTATTTAAAAAGAAATTTGATGAAAAGTACCTTATTATATTACAATAAGTATTAATGGAGCGAAACCAGAATTTAATTATTGTTTGAGTGGTCATTTGATTGATTGAGTGACTTATGGCTGCTTTACGCCAAGCGGCAAGTATTTCATACATATTAAAGACAATAAAATTGTACATACATTATATAGCTGGCAAGAAGACGTTTCACCCTCTACGGACACATCATTTTTATACCGCGTCACACAAATTTATTCCAAAATGACAGTCGTTTGGCAGAGAAGCAGCACCTATCAATTTTAAAGTCCGTGTTTGAAATTAAATTATGTCTATATGTGTTGCCCAGAGCCCATTATGTATTCTTTTGTTTAATAAAGTTTCTCGGAATATTTTACCATAGTTTTGAAAACTTAATATATATGTTACTTTATAATTTGTGCTATACTCTAATTAATAAACTGTTTAAAAGGTAGTTCTGAGTTTCAGTAGTTTATTCTTGTATTAAATACCATTTAGTAAAATATCTATATTACAGGTTCCGTTTAGTACGACTGTTGATGAAGAGTCCATAAGAGTTGCATTCGTGAGTATAATTGTTTTATGTAAAATAATGCAAACGTAAGATTGAATCTAATTTTTCTGTTTTCATATTTTTTTTTTTTCATTCGATCTAATATAAAGTCCTATTGGTTAATATTCACGTGAAATGTGTACATGTTGGACACAAGAACAACCTGTATTGTTTTCTATATGGCGGTTGTGACAGTATGCCAACTTTCGAAAAGTTTTACTTGAATGTAAGCTAGGAAATCGACCTAAATGGAAACATTGTTCAATAATTTCTTAGGTATTTTTTAAAGATATCGAAACGACATGTTTAAAGCATACAAAAACATAATCTATGATCCTTCAAGTCATTTATTTTTCATTCAATGTTCGGAAATTTAGTTGAAAAGGGACACTTGTCGAGGCACAGCCATTTGATTATATTTATTATATTAAAATTTGCTTTATTTTTAATATACGTACATCTTCAAAGCAATTAAAGGATGAAATGTAATAAGAGCCATTCTTATAGCCCCTGAAATTGCAAAAATAGTAAAATTATATAAGCCAGTCAAACTGGTCATGTTATTTGTAATGATAAATGAACAGGTTGGTATATTCTGGACACTTTCGTGAAGAGAAGTCACTTGTTATGTCACCATGGTGTCATAAACATGTCCAAATTGACATATTTGACCTAAAGTTACAATTGTACCCATACTTTAAGGCACCATAGAGTCATGAACTCGTGCTGAAATATATTTAACATACAGCCGTAATAGAAATATGTAATGATGCAATTTTAGTTTACAAAACAAAGCACATGGCAAAATAAGCAATAACGGTAGAATGGGTTCCAGTAAGAGTAAAAGAAAATTACTGTGGAGAAATGAAATGCTAGATGAATTTATTAAATGTATTTGAATCAGTAGTTTTACTTTACCAGGAAGCAGATTCAATGGCGCTTCGTCAATTCTAAAATAGTATCTGAATATGACTGATGGATCTTCCCCTTGAATATAAAAATAAGAAGATGTGGTATGATTGCCAATGAGACAACTCTCCACAGGAGACCAAATGACACAGAAATTAACAACTTTATGTCACCGTAAGGCCTTCAACAATGAGCAAAGCCCATACCGCATAGTCCAGCTATAAAAGGCCCAGAAAAGACAAATGTAAAACTATTCAAACGAGAAAACTAACGGCCTGATTTATGTACAAAATAATGAACGAAAAACAAATATGATATACAGCAACAAACGACAACCACTGAATTACAGGCTCCTGACTTGTAATAGTACAACATATCAACAAACTATAAAATCAGTTGAAAAGGGCTCAACTCATCAGATAGATACAAAGCAAAAACAAGTAGTTTCTATAACATCTATTCTTAAAGCTGAACAAGGGTCTTGTGTCCCGCCGAGCGCGTGGGTGACATAGTATTAGTATTCATGCTTCCCTCTGTTATTAACAATCATTAACAATCCAAACTTTACTGATTGGGTTCCATTAATATATTCTTCAGAACTAGACATTAAAGAAACAATATACACGGCTTACTCTGCCTTATTTTTAGACTTATAACTCAAATTTGACATAAGTGGTCATCTCAGTACCAGAATCTATGACATACGAGACGATTTTAATTTTGAAATCATAAATTTCCCCCACCTTAGCAGCAATATAGCAACTTCACCTGCATATTGGATATACATTTCCCAACTCATTCGGTATTCAAGAGCTTGCAGCTGTTACTCAGACTTTATAAAACGTCACCAGTGTCTGAGCAGAAAGTTGATGAACCAAGTTTATGTCCAAGAACGTCTCGTCCTTTTACTTAAAAAAATTTTCATCGGAAGATACGAAGACCTTGTTGATGAAGTATAGATTCTAGGTACTGACGTTGTTTATCATCTTAATTAAGTGTTACATGTATAATGTTCTCTTAATTTGTCATTGTACATATTTTTAACCTTTACTGTTTAGTCCATTTTTGGTAATATACTTTTGGCGTGGCTAGTTATTTATACATCCCGCCATTATGTTATTGTGCTATGGTCATTTTTTGTATTCTTGTCTTTCATTTTTGCTTATATACTTTGTCTATAGAGTGTCTGATTTGTCATTTTTTTTTTAATAGTTATTTGTTTTATAGGGATTAAGATTATTACACGATGTTGACTTCTGTACCCCAATTTTTGACATTTTTACCTATTATGTCTATTTGTTTTGCTCACACATTGTTGTCAATATAATGGAATTATATATGACAGTCATACAAATTAGAGGTTTGGCTAGATATATAACCAGGTTTAATCCACCATTTTCTACATAGGGAAATGCCTGTACCAAGTCAGGAATATGACAGTTGTTTTCCATTCGTTTGATGTGTTTGAGGTTTAGATATTGCCATTTGATAAAGGACTTTCCTTTTGAATTTTCCTTGGAGTTCGGTATTTTTGTTATTTTACTTTTTTTACACATTGTTGCTAGTACTCCGAGACCAGAAGCTTTCCCATTTAATAGGCTTTGATGTTATCTTATACTATACCGTCATTTTGATTTGACATGTCTTGCAGACTTAGACCATTTTTTGTGACATTTTTTTTAATGCAACTCCCCTGCTACCGTTTGTCCGGTTTTATATATAGCGTACCGTCACCTCGGGACGTTTTTGATTTAATATTCATTACAAATGATGTAGAAGAATGATGATGGAAGTTTTTAACGACCTTGACTGGCTATACAGCCCTCGCACGGTCGGCTATAGAAGAATACCCTTACTGACCATGTTATAACCAATAAGGGAGCAACCATTTAACTTCAAAGGGGGGTTATGTTTTTTTGTCTGAGTCAGAATTTTTTTTTTATTTTTTCGACGCTATCAATCAAATTATTTTTTTTCAAAATTTAACACTATAAGATATGGGGAAAATCTGGATTCAGAATATTTTTTGTTGTCATCTGCTTGACCACAATATTTTTTTTTCATCAAATTGGGGATCAGAATGTTTTTTTAGGAAAAAAACATAACCCCCCTTGAAGTTAAATGGTCGTTCCCTAAACATTTATCCCGAGACATAAACCTTCACAATTGTTTATGATAAATTTGGTTCTCTCATCGTTTCTTATTGTCTTTCATACACGATAGTCTAGTACAATGTCAATCCTTAAATCGGAGAAGGACCGCATTTCTATTAAAATGCTAAGATAGCATTCTACTGTTCATTCAATTGTATTCCACAATGTGTACACAGTAATCGGGAATATTTCGCTACGGTACAGTAATTGTGTTACAGAGACAACATGAATGGTTCATTAATTTTAATACTATATTTAACCAAAACGTGTAAATTGAACTCAGGCTAGTATATGATTTGACTTTCGTCAAATGTATATAGTTTTAAATTCAATTATTCTGTTAATGACATAATTGAATATTTTCAAGATGGACACAAGTGGAAAAGGAGATTTCGAACATACTACTGGAAACCATTGGCGGGCTAAAGACATATTCTTAATTGTTTGCGACATCAGTAAGATGGTAAGATAGACACATAAATCGAATTTAACATTTACTCAGAACAAAGTTAACTCATGCCTTATATATGTCATATATTAATCATTTTCCTTTTATCTCCAAATGGCTTTCTTCTGACGTGGGAAAAAGCAACGCGATAGACAGGCAGCAGGTGACATTGATTTTTTACTAGAAAGTTAAGGGGGGAAATCTTGTTTACACTCGACAACAAACTTAAAAGAAAAAAGTAAGGGGGAAAATACCAGGGGAGATATCAAAATCTCTAAGAAAAAGAAGAGCAGACAACACCATGACGAAGAGAAAACCGACGAATGACGAACATTGAAAAAAACACTACACATAAAACTAATTTTAGCTGATTTAGCTACATGAACTCCATTAAAAACCCGAGTAGAACCCAAATGTTCTAGAAGGGTAAGCAGTACAATAGTCATGTTTCTCTATTTGTATTCGCAATTGCGGAAAAGTAACAGGATTGTGGCTACTACTAGTAAAACTTATCCATGGTTATCTGTCACACATTGTATAACAAATACCTCCACAGGATGACCTCAACTTTACCATTAGGTACAATATCTTCCTTGCAAGCAGAAATCCTCTTTCAAGAAAATCATGATAGGAAACGCAAGGCTATATCATTGCCAAAAGAATAGTAGATATAAACAAACGATAATACATGAGACATTACGCAGAAAAGAACAATAAAAAGAAAAAAACGGAGGTGCACTGAAAGGTATAAGAAGTTTCATTGATAGTTCTCATTGTAATGTAACGTCTGGTCAGAATGGGGACGATAAATCCGATGCCTCGTGTAAAGAGAGTGCTACGCTCTTTGCACGTTAAGAACCTTGTAACACCTTTAAGGGGTCCGTAGGTGGCCTGTTGCAAGGCTACATTTCTGTATTTATTGTTAATTTGTTCTCGTCCTGAACATGTTTGAAATATTTCCAACTGGACGGTTAAGCAACCAACAATCAATCAATCATTGTAATTAAGCTATTTACACATTTATTCAGAGTATGAATATAAATAAAGGACAGAGTTGTGACAAGGACAAAGGAAATATATGCGTCAAAGGTTAAATCAGATGCGGATCCAGGATTCTGAAAAAGGGGGCCCGCGGGCCCCCAAACTAGACAAAATTTGGGGATGTATAGGTCAAAAGTCTGGATTAACCATAGATGTAGCTCCAAAAGGGACTGTCAAGAAAGGAAAAATTTCTACGGGTGAATTATGGTTTTAAGGAGTTGCAAATGTTTTCGTTCTGTCAGGTTTTGGTTAAAATGATCACATAAGTGTTTTCTTTGATATATTTTCTGTTTAGGAGTCTCTTGAATCTCTGGCTGAATTTCTTAAAGATATTAATGATCTCAGCGGACAAAAGGAACCTGTAGTCGTTGTTAGCGGAAATAAATCTGATTTAGCAGTGGTGATAAATGAAAAAGAAATAGAGGTATGTTAATTCTGTTACTGCTTCTTGTTTTTACAGCTTTTTACATTTCTGAATATTGCTTTTCTATATGTCTTCAAATAACTTTCCCTTTTGAAAATACAATGTACAACTTATTTATCTTCTAGGAACGGAACAGTTATTACATGTAACTTGATTGATGTGATTGCAAATGACAATGCATATCACAAATGACCGTGATTTGACCTAAAACTCTCCGTTACAGACTTGATAATAGAACACAACTTTCTGTTGGTCCTTACAATCTATTGACATTTTTGCTGACATAAAGTCCATGTGAGGATAACTTGGAACTCAAATGTTTTCCCCTTTTAATTGTGTCCATACACGTGAATTCGCGTATATATAAACATTAAATTTGAGATTCTTTATTTAAAATTGACTGTGTGTCTGAAACAGCCTGTTGCTAAATACATTTTGGGAATATAGTCTTCTCTGATGTCGATTGCAGTAGCAGAAAAGCAATGTTGTCTTCAGTGCATTGTAAAATATATTTTCAAAGTTCTCCAGGTGATAAATACTGTAAATACGTTACTTCTCAACCCCGAAATCATAAAGAGGACGTCTTGCCTTGATAGAATATACACAATATTGAGCAATTAGATATTTTTAAAGCGTTGATATGGCAAACTGAAATCGCAGGGTGAATTCTGAATTTTGAAAACTGTTGAAATTACACAACATTGAATTGTTTAATTTAAAGATCCAGACAGCAATTTTATTATCCCTTTTTGTATTCTTCATAGTAAAGGTAGAAGAATGTATTTGGAAAAGATAAAATCGGGTAAGCATTCAGAAATGTAGATTTGTGCCCCTTACAAAAAATCAGATTTTTCCTATTTTTGAACTCAATTTCTTGAGAAAATATTGTTTAGCAACATATGATTCCACAGTTCATTCAAATATGAATATTGTTTTATAAAATAAACACTCTATTGACACATTGGGTTAAAACAAACAATTTATTTTAAAAAAAAGTTGCTTTGCAACACATATATTCCTTAGTAACGGAGAAGAATTTAAAGTAACGAAGTATAATAGACTTGTTTTAATGAAGAATAAAAAGAAGAATGAGTATGATGTGCAGTTAACCAGTTCTCTCTTGGTTTATTTATTCTGTATAACGTGTAGCCTACATCTAAATTTGAAAATTAAGTCAGTTTTCTTCATTCAAAGGGAAAGGTTGCTAAGTAACAACAAAAGGGGACAACTACAATATAATGAAATGGCCGCAAATGAATACAATATTTTTGTGAAATTTATCTGAAAATATGTTTAAATTCTATTCTAGTGCTAACAAATAAATTATATGTTTCTGTAATTTCACATGACAGTGTACTTTTCTCTTAGCAACAGTCATATTCCTAGGCAAAAGACAGATGATGGTTTTTTTTTAAATATTTTAAATATATCTATTCCGTAACGTCTGACCCCTTTCACAACCCAAACTTTGCTAAAAAAAATGACTTTCAATAAAATACAGCATAAATATGTTCTTACTTTAAAATCCTAAGCAACAAGTTGCAATACCTAGCAACAGTTATTTTCTTCAAAGTTTTCATTTTAATATAAAAGTAAGCCACTGACTGATAATGTTGACATGGAAATCAAGTAGGGGCTAATAAAATAACATTGATTTATTGTCGAGCCTGCGACTTTTGTCGCAGAAAGCTCGACATAGGAATAGTGATCCGGCGGCGGCGGCGGCGGCGTTAGTTAACTTCTTAAAAGCTTTATATTTTAGAAGGTGGAAGACCTGGATGCTTCATACTTTGTATATAGATGCCTCATGTTACGAAGTTTCCGTTAGTTACATGTCCAATGTCCTTGACCTCATTTTCATGGTTCAGTGACTACTTGAAAAAAAAAGTTCAGATTTTTTAGAATGTTAAATTCTCTCTTATTATAAAGTGATAGGCTAACTATATTTGGTATGTGCGTACCTTGCAAGGTCCTCATGCCCGTCAGACAGTTTTCACTTGACCTCGATGTCATTTCATGGATCAGTGAACAAGGTTAAGTTTTCGTGGTCAAGTCCATATCTCAGATACTATAAGCAATAGGTCTACTATATTTGGTGTATGGAATGATTGTAAGGTGTACATGTTCAACTGGCAGGTGTCATCTGACCTTAACCTCATTTTCATGGTTCAGTGGTCATAGTTTAGTTTTTGTGTTTTTGGTCTGTTTTTCTAATACTGTATGCAATAGGTCAACTGTATTTGGTGTATGGAAATATTTTACGATGTACATGTCAGTCTTGCAGGTGTTATTTGATCTTGACCTCATTTTCACGGTTCATTGCTCAATGTTAAGTTGTTGTGTTTTGGTCTGTTTTTCTAATACTGTATGCAGTAGGTCAACTTTATTTTGTGTATGGAAATATTCTACGATGTACATGTCTGTCTGGCAGGTTTCATTTGACCTTGACCTCATTTTCACGGTTCATTGATCAATGTTAAGTTTTTGTGTTTTGGTCTGTTTTTCTAATACTGTATGCAGTAGGTCAACAATAGTTGGTGTATGGAAATATTTTACGATGTACATGTCAGTCTGGCAGGTTTTATTTGATCTTGACCTCATTTTCATGGTTCATTGCTCAATGTTAAGTTTTTGTGTTTTGGTCTGTTTTTCTTAAACTTTAAGCAATAGGTCAACTATATTTGGTGTATGGAATGATTGTAAGGTGTATATGTCTGTCTGGCAGGTATCATCTGACCCTCTTCTCATTTTCATGGTTGATTGGTCAATGTTCAGTTTTCCTGGTTATCTTTGTTTCTTAGATTCTTAAAGCAATAGGTCAACTATATTTGATGCATGGAATGATTTTATGGTGTACATGTCTGTCTGGCAGGGTTCATCTGACCTTGACTTCATTTTCATGGTTCATTGGTCAGTATAGAATTTCCATGGTTTGGTCTGTTTTTCTTATACTATAAGCAATAGGTTATCTATATTCTGTGTATGGAATGATTGTATTAAAGGTGTACATGTATTTCCGGCTTGGTTTTTCTAACATTGACCTCATTTTCTTGGATCATAAATGTTAATGTGTTGTAGTAAAACTTTATATGTAGGACTATCAACATAAATCAATGGTCAGTATAGTAGGCGAGACATTTCAATGTTGATTCATCAGGATATGTACATGTATCGCAAAAAATCTCCTTTTTTAATAAATGCATGTATATGCAAAGGATAAAAGGAATTACAGTACGGCTACTCGGCCATCCAATTTAAAACAACTTGTTCTGACGTTTTTTTATTTAAATGAACGTAATCTATGTATTACTGGTGAATTGTTATGTCAGGGATTTCGTTACCACAAATTACTTAAAACCTTTACTAAATTCTTCCATAGATATAAAGATTTGGTTTTAAAGTTTGGTCATACCCATAGAAAACTTATTTCAAACAGGATAACACATCCTAATTTTTAAGGAGATATTGTTTACCGAGCCCGAAAATTTAGAAACGATCCGGATAAACTTGTCGATCCTTTAAATAAACTTATTCCAAAAGGTTACCAATTCAACACCGTAATTAGATCTTTGAATATTGTTTTTATTGGTATTAGTATTGATTTTGTTATCAGTAAATTAAAATCAAATTAAATATTATTTTTATATACATATGCACATTCGTGGTTCCACAATCTGTCGATACATGTATATTGGCATTGCACAATGTCATGTTTTTCTCTGACTGTTAATGACGTATTTATACTAAATCCATTGGATGTTGGATGTATACTGATTGATATTTTAGTCTTTGATGCATGATTTTTTTATTAGTTGTTATTGACTTTGAACTAGCTGTCAGTAACTGCGAGTTCTCTCAGATTAGTACTTAGTGTCTTTTTGTTGTGGGGATGTATAAGTACCCAGCTACGTGAACTCTGTGTTTTTGTTAGATGTATTTTTATGTGTATGCATCTGATCAGTTAATCCTTTTTCAACTGATTTTTATAGTTTGTTCATCTGTTGTACTGTTACACCACTGTCCGAGGTTAGGCGGAGGGTTGGGATCCCGCTAACATGTTAAACCCCGCCACATTCTGTGAGAGTTGTCTCATTGGCAATCATACCACATCTTCTTATTTTTATAATTAGTTCTGAGAAAACAAATGAAAATATTGTGGGCTAGATAGCCTGATTCAATAAAGTCAAGAAATGTGGTGTGGTTAATACAGTTTTATTTGCACCAATACTTATCGTTTTGCATATCTACACTATATATTGCAAAGGTAGAACACATAACAAAATCCTTATAGCACAGCTTTTGATATTATGAAAGTGCAAAATGTTATTCTTTAAACATTTGTTTAATGTTTCCCGTATATATATATATGGCGTGATAATGCCCTATGGAGTGAAGAAGTCACAACCGCAATTACTTGACTGAAATAAGGGCAAAAATTGGCATTAACGGGAAATATCTTTAGAAACATACGTCCAATACTCACTGGACTTAGCTTGATAATTTTTGAAAATACAATTTGGTTTTGGTCTTGTGACACACAAATATGACTTGTTCGTGATATTTTGGCAGTGGTCAGATAAAAGTGTAGGAAGCCTTTTAGTTTAATATGTACAGTTTAAAATCAAAGTATATTTTCTAATAGTTGATCCACTTCTGCTTACATGAATTGGGCTACACATAAATAGTTTATCCATGATACATTCTTTCCGCCATTGGCAGGATAGATGTTATGCTGCTAAATAATAATGAGAAGTTGTCTTAGAGACAATCTAATTAACATATTAATCTTTGATTTCCTTATCCTCATATGCTACGAGCACACGAGTTTATATAGATATGAATTTTGATTAGATTGTCTAAGGGAAAACTCAATTATCACATTTGTCATATATCTTAGTAACAGTTCTCAATCCGTATCAATTTTCCAGAAAAATATGTACATGTAGATATGCGCCAAACCCCACTTTATGCCTGTCAATTTAATTGTTTTATGATTATTC